ATATGTATATATATTTATATACACATATATGTGTTTATCGATCTCGTAGACTATTACCTGTCCTGATTCTGCGCCTTGAATGTAGATTTTATATACATATGTTATATACATATGCGAGCATATTAAAATATATTCATCGTGTAACTACAACACTTGATATATATCTGACTTATATACAGGCTTGTAACTTTTTTGTATACTTCCAAGTTGTTTTTCTCGTTTAGGTTGTCTCATCTCGATCAAATATGACGTGAGAACTGATACCTTTCCAACGCTTTCACTTTTTTGGGTATCTCGGACCTCATGATATACGTGAACGGCACGTCAAGACACTTTTTTATACTAAATCGTTCAAAATTTGGCAATCTCCCGGAATATATGAGCCCCTAATCCTGGTGTATTCTGTGCCTGCTGATACGACATACGATAATACTCCGACAGTTTAGCAATGCAGCTATTACACACACTACCTTTGTATACCCATTTAGACAACGAGACCTACCCACAGTCGGAATAGCGTCTAACCAATTCATATATTGATTCCTATCGATTTGCGCGAACGTCTTTGAAGAATGAACTCCGCCACTTGATGTCAGAAGGATTGGATTTCGATAGTGCCCGGTTACAGATGAACTTAGAAAGAATGCAGTCCGCTGGAATTGACCCGTCGACTGGGTTACCTATGGGTAAGTTAAGAGCCCTCAGTGTAAATCCTGACGGATTGAGACGTTGCTTATCAGCAATATGTATTATTTTATCACATAGGAGTACCAGTCTTGTAATATCACTCGTTTAGCGGAATTGACTTCTCTGGAGTAGACACCTTTTTTCCTGAATGTATACTCAAGCTTAGTTACAGACTAGCGCGCGGGCAACCCAATTACTTATTTACATATAAACGCGATCACTCGTGCATAAGTCACGTATTTCATTAAAGGTACGATTAAAGTTAATTGAAGTTACGATTTATAGTTCCCAGTTTTTACGTCTATGGTCTCAAGCCTGCGCTTAAAATTGAATTATTAGACTCACAAACACATCCAACGTTTAAATTCTCACCCCAATATGCTCAGATGCAAGAAAAGACAGTAGCTCGTAGTAGCATCCCGTGCAACGTGTTAAATGATTGGGCCATCAAACTGCTGTCTTGTTTAATTGCTTTGTAATCAGATTCTCGTAGGGTCAACGTCTATCAATAATCGACAGTAGCACACTAACGCATGCTCCTGACTGTATATATTCTCCACAATGGTTTATTGACTCTTAGATACATCTGTGCTTTGTCTGAGATTTCGTCTGCATGAACAGAGGCACACTAAATTGAGATTAAATATTTGAAACCCCAATAACACAACCGATTGTATTTTAAACTGTTGATATGTACCAGATTGTCTCTCGTTTTGCGTTCAGATTTTGAAAAGCAGCACCACACCCACTCGTATACATTTGTTTGTTCACGAACAAGGGGCTATCAAGTATATACCTATGTGGTTAGCAATCAAGAATACCATCACATAAATTCTTATCTGATGATGCAATTCCCCAGGACTACAGCGTTTAAGCAGGACCCTATCATTAAGTCGCATTTTCAATCCGTCGCAGATTCTCGCGCAGTTACGTTTGAATCCCTGAGGAACACCAATAACAACATACAACAGTCCAGCAGGCGGGGCGGTGATATACTGCGAAGGTCGGACAACTGGAAAAAGAAGTTCATGGCGATTGCAAATGTATGTAAAGTGGTATGTCAGATATATATGGCCTTAACTCAAAAACCAGTATGTGATTGTTCAACCGCCGTAGGATGGTAGTGTAGGTATAAACCACGAATGACGAGTTCTGCATGAGTAAGTGCGGCACCGATGGTTTAATGCTGTATGCGATAGAATAGCGACCTGTCAAGCATTAAGTCGGTGTTTGTAATATGTTGTGTTTGACGCACACAAGGCTTCGGATAATGAACCGTGTATTAGTACTTGTTTCCACAATCGCCTCTCGCAACGCTGCACACGCTCTGTTCAGTATATGTATATGTACCCAATGCCAAGTGCCCAGTGAAGCCCTGCGATTAATGCTATCGTTGTGCGACTTTATATTTCTCCTCCGCGTCTTGCACATCCTCCTGCCTAAGAACTCATGCCGGATTTATACTTGGATATTCTATGCATTGCTTCGCAAATTAGTCATGGTATATGGATGTCATTGTACTGATTAGTTTAAACTTTATTTGCTGCAGCGGATCGGTCTGTCGCCGCAGAAACTCGTGGCCGTGACAGTAGTAACGCTGGTGCTCTACTTCCTATTACGGCATACTGACTTAATTTTCCCCGACTATGTGGATGACACTGGTATCCTGAATAATACTGAGGAATAAAGTCAAGAAATCTTACTTTTAAAAAATTGCATCCTCATTCATCTCAGTCACAACGCCGTGTCGAAGCAAAATTGAATCTTGTACATAGTGCAAACATGTGTCGTCGACAGTAGACACGAGTTAAATAAATAAATATTTCGAACAGGAGGCCAGGACTGATGAGAGCACTCACTCCCCTCCCTAATTTACCAGAAAGTTCAAAAGTTAAAAATACATTCGTGAAATATCAAATTTGAAATATGTATGTAAATACGTCAAAGTTTATAGTTCAAACCGTTTATATTTGGGTTTTTTCCAAAAACAAAATCCTAAAAAAGAAAACTGGAACTGTTTTTATCATTATAAATAATTTAGAACTTTAGAATGCTATGCTGGAACACATATTTTTATTTTTTAAAATACTGGAACACCGGGCTGGAACGTATTCTTTTAAACCCCCCCCCCCCGTATTCTTTAATTGTATAATTTAGGGGGCTATGCTCATATTTTATATTTAGCCCTCTAAATTGAACAAATGCTTTAGTGGTATTTTTTTATTAATAAACAAGCAAATAAAAAATTATGTAAAAATTAAAAAGGCATGGCAGATGTGATTGATAAGAAATCTTCCGCTGACCAATCAAAAACCGTGTAAAGTTTGTAGCTAGATTTCTTTGACAGGAATTGATGAGCACCGCGTCACCTCGCAATACGCAGGCTCGCAGACACTCGGACTCAGAATCTCAGCAGACTTTAAAGTGGATTGTACCGTGAGTTGTTAGTTTGGGAATACGTAATTACAACACGTATCGCCCTGGACACCTCTTAACTTGCAGATACAACCTATTGTACTCAAAGATACGTAAGGGTACGTCAACGGATATAGGCACAGTACAAACGATAGCGATATGCCTACAGATCCACGACAACTAATACTTTTGGCAGCTTACAGTACAATATAATACGCAAATACTACGTTGATAGGGTGCTGCAACTACGCATTGCAAAGAAATCAAGCATCATGAGTCTACTAGATAGAAATCAGTCGAGTGAGCTCAGTATACAGAGGCAGTCGTCCGAAGGAACAGTCATCGAAGGCACAGAGCAGCTGAGTGCATGCAGCGGCGAGTTCGCTAATAGCGAAAAAGATGCAGACACCGTCGGAGGATTGGAGAGAAGTGCTTCAAGACGGTATGTGTATGCTGAAGGGGGAGATTTACACTTGATAGATATGCTATTACGCACTATTTAGGAAATTACCATGTTGTGTTTGATAAAAATATAGAGAGCAAAACTAACTTTGTACATGCGTTATATATATGTGATCCCGCGCATAAATTGATAGTCTCATTATGATACAAACAGAGGCAGATGTAAAGATGCGCACAAATTCACTAAAACATATGAGTAAATGATGAGTTCGTATCAAGGTTGCGGACGGAGTATGCTCGTGTCTATATATATATATATATATGTACACACACACACACACACACACACACACACACACACACACACACCCATACACACACACACACAAACACACATA